CTTTAATAACATTTCTTACTTAATTAATGGAAACACAGCAGTTTCGAAACTGTTTTCTCGACATTAACAGAATATCGACAAAGTTTTGCGCACATTTGCCATGGAAACGCAGCTACTGTCAGAGAATAAGTCAGAGTTCAAATTTGTTTCAGTAAACAAAGACCAGAGTTCCCCTTTGATGTCACTTCCTGTTTCACTTTGGCTGAGCCAAATTCAAAATAAAATATGCCAGTTATGTGACAAAATGGGTTAAATCATGTTTATTATGCCAAGTTTCTTAAATATAAAGATGTTTTCTTTGACTTTTTGTATTTGAAGGATATGCATGTCACAGATACTTTAAACTAATTCAAGAGTGAAGTCCTGCAATGATCAGACTGATTCCTGAGCGTTGTGTTTCTTCTCAGGTTGTTCAGTGAGGCCTGCTGTGATTTGTAGTTTTTTAAATCTCATTTTAAATCCTGTTTTGTAGCCATTCAGTGTAAAGCGGTGAGGCAACGCTCAAGGCCCGGCTTAAAGAAGAAGACACTGCCCTTAACCCAAACTCCGGAGGACATGTACAGGCTCACCTGCAGGTCAGATGTTATAACATCAAGATCCAGAAAGGCTTTGATTTGGGTCCAACTTCATTTCCAGCTTATCTGTAGCTGTTTGAGTGATTCAAAGTTTTTTGTCTCCAAAGGTTCTGTGACCTCGTCTTCCAGGGTCCACTGTCAGTCCAGGAGGATTGGATTAAACATTTACAGAGACACATAATGAACACTGGGGTCCCTCGCACTGGACTAGGCATGGTGGAGGTCACCTCAACGGCCACAAACCCCCCGATCCTCAAGCTGGATCGTGACAGCTTGTCGACAGTCGCAGATGATGACTCATGAGGCCAGCGGGACGGTTTTAGATTTCACTAGACTCTGTGTATGTACATTGGATGTTTGTTCACTTTTTTAGGTCAATGAAAAACTGGCCAAAAGTACAATTTGGCTCAATGTTTTGGGCACTATTGGAACAACTGGACAGGTAAAAGATAGATTTGAATAATTTGGATATTGTTACCTTTGTTTTTACATGGCCCGTTTTTATGAAATGAAATACCTTTACCTCAGATTCTTCATGGTTTTAGTCCGTTTTAGTACCAACACTCACCTAGAACACACAAACATGTTTCCTTTGTGTTGCAACATGATCCAATAAATGCCCAGCCTCTTATCAGGCCACAGCCACACTGATGCTGAATTTTTGGGAAAAAAATAGAAAAATGTCTGCAATTTTTTATGCATATGAAATGTTTTGTAGTATTGCAGTAATTGCATTGTTTCTAATACAAAAAAAAGTTGGTTCAGGAAAAACTAAGTCTTATTACGCACACCCCGTGCTGCTCATACCGTTCATACGTCACCTATATTTAATGTTTAAATATACTGTTTTGAAATAATTTAATTTGAAATGTACTATATCACACAGATACAAGACGTAAAACATTTGTGTTGTTCTAAATAAAATCAAAAAAAAAATTTAACACCTGGAGTTTTTTTCTAACTGTTTTGTATTTCAGGTTACGTGTCAAATTCAAGGCCCACGAGTCAAATGTGGCCCACCATGGCATTTCATGGAGCTTGTGATATGTATTGTTTTACAATTAGCATAAGCTGCTTTAAAAACAGTACTTACAATAAACCACATCTCCCATAATGCATTTTACCTGCAAATCACTATGTATAATTCCCATTTAGCTGCTTGTTCACCAGCTACTTTTGCTGTGACCCAGTTTTACTTTAGAAATTTAAACTGGAACTCCAGTTCCATCAGTGGGAAAGTTCAGATTTCAAGATGGCAGCTGCTCACCACAACTCAACAGTGATGAAACTACTTTTAATAGTTTTTCTGTATTATTTATTTCACATTTAGTCAGTCGTACACAGTGTTTCAGTGTTTGTAAGAGGACGTGTTAAACCATTGTTTCTATGCAAGAAATACCAGGTAGAGCTCAGACATTGTTGCGGTGCTCAGATGTAGCAACGAGATGAGGAATGTAATGTTTCTTGTTTAGTTGAAGTTAAACATGAAACGCCAAAGTCAATAACTGGCCCTTTGAGGGCCACTAAGGCTCATTAGACCCCTGGGTTACAAAATCGCAGTGAACTATGGTACAAAAACTTTACATTTTATTGAGATAAAGACACAATGAGGACTGAGACAGTTTGGATCCATGAAGTCATTCAAACGGGGAGCCACCCTGGAAAACAAAACAAAAACAAAAGTCAGATGTATGTTTACATATAGGTTCAAATCTATCTGGACACTGAAAGTTTATTTTTTTACCTGTTTACTGAAACATATTCAAGTTATAGTTCTATAATGTGCATGTACATAAAGTCCAGATATTCAGCTTTCATTCGAGGGTGTCCACATTAATACTGGATGAAGGGTTTAGGAGTTTCAGCTCCTTAACGTGCCACCGTTTTTAAAGGGACCAAATGTAATTGGACAATTGACTCCAAGGTTATTTCATGGACAGGTGTGGGCAATCCCTTCGTTATGTCATTCTCAATGAAGCAGATAAAAGGCCTGGAGGTGATTTGAGGTGTGCTGCTTGTATTTGGAAGGTTTTGCTGTGAAGTAAACATGTGGTCAAAGGAGCTCTCCATGCAGGTGAAACGAGCCATCCTTAAGCTGCAAAAACTGAAAAAAAAAAACCCATCTGAGAAATTACTACAATATTAGGAGTGGCTAAATCTACAGTTTGGTTCATCCTGAGAAAGAAAGAAAGCACTGGTGAACCCATCAATGCAAAAAGACTTGGGTACCCACGGATGACAACAGTGGTGGATGATGGCAGAATAATCTCCATGGTGAAGAGAAACCCCTTCACATCAGCCAACCAAGTGAACAACACTCTGCAGGAGGTAGAAGTATCAATATCCAAATCTACCATAAAGACAAGACTGCATGAAAGTAAATACAGAGCGTTCACTGCACGCTGCAAGACACTCATAAGCCTCAAGAATAAAAAGGCTAGAATGGACTTTGACAAAAAAAACATGTAAAAAAGCAGCAGAGTTCTGGAAGATCATTCTTTGTACAGATGAAACCAAGATCAACCAGAATGATGGAAAGAGAAAAGTCTGGTGAAGTCGTGGTAAAGCTCATGATCCAAAGCACCACATCATGTGTAAAACACAGYAGAGCAGTGTGATGTCTGCCAGTGGCACTGGGTCACTGGTGTTTATTGATGATGTGACACAGGACAGAAGCAGCCCAATGAATTCTGAGGTATTCAGAGACTAACTGTGTGCTCAGATCAGACAAATGCAGCCAAACTGATTGGTCATCATTTCATACTACAGATGGACAATGACCCAAAACATAAAGCCAAAGCAACCCAGGAGTTTATTAAAGCAAAGAAGTGGAATATTCTTGAATGACCCAGTCAGTCACCTGATCTCAACCCAACTGAGCATTTCACTTGTTAAAGACTAAAGACAGAAAGGCCCACAAACAAACAGCAACTGAAAACCGCCACAGTGAAGGCCTGGCAGAGCATTAAAAAGGAGGAAACACAGCGTCTGGTGATGTCCATGAGTTCAAGACTTCAGCCAGTCAACAAAGGCTTTTCAACCAAGTCCTAGAAATGAACATTTTATTTACAATTATTTAATCTGTCCAATTACTTCTGAGCCTCAGAAATGAAGGGATAGTGTTAAAAGATGCTTTAGTTCCTCACATTTTTATACAATCATTTTGTTCAACCCACTGAATTAAAGCTGGAAGTCTGAACTTCAACTGCATCTGAATTGTTTTGTTGAAAATTCATTGTGGTAATAGAACCAAAATTAGAAAAATGTTGTGTCTGTCCAAATATACATGGTCCTAAGGATAATAATGTGATCTGAACAGTGACACTGAAGACATCCAGTTTAATTTAACTTAATGCACAAACAGATTAATAAAAAGCCAAAACAGAGTTTGATATGGATGAACTGAGGTGGTGTTATGAATTCAACCTGAACTCAAACT